CAGATTCTCGTGACCCACAATTGTTCCCTCATCTTGCTCAAGCTGGATAATCTTATTTCTCCTATGTTTGCCATTTGCAATCATATGAAAGAACTGTGTGTTGTCATCCCCTAGGACGACCTTAAGGACCTTAGCGTGTAAGGCCCATTTCATTTCCTCTTCTCTAAGCAAAACACGCAATTTCAACACAGCCTCCGACTTAACTGCCTGCTCTGACTTGTCCAGCAGATTCATTTCTGCTCTTAGATCTAGCGTCTGAATCAGCTGGATAAGCCGTTCCTTCTCTTGTTTATAGATCCCACTCTCATTTCTGGCCCAACCCCTCAAGAATTATCTCAGGTGTCTAATCTTATTCTGCCAGCGCTCCATGTGGGATCTACCTGCAACAGGTCTAGCCCACTCTCTCGCCACTATCTCTATAAAATTCTCTTTTTGAACCAACTGAGCTCGAAAGAGAAAATATTTTTATTGCCAATATGAGTTGCTTCACCCGAGTCAACTAATAAGGGTGTGTGGTCGGAAATCGTCCTCTGCATCACGTGCACCGATACCAGTGGGTATTTCTGTTCCCATTTCACACTCGCAAGCACCCTCTCTAGCTTCTCGTAAGTAGGAGTAGGAAGAGTGTTTGCCCAGGTAAACTGTCTATCCATGAGTTCTATCTGCCTAAGATTAAGGCTCTCAATGATCATATTGAACATAAATGACCACCGTCCATAAAAATGATCATTCTTTTTTTCTTCCTTCCTCCTAATGATGTTAAAATCACCCCCACTAATATTGGCAATCTCTCATCCCCACAAATCCTAACCAGATCCACCAAGAAATTCGGTTTAAATTCGGGTTGGGCTGCGCCATAAACCGCCACTAAGGCCCATCGGAAACCATCCAATTTATACCTAACCCGAAACTTAACCGCATAATCGCCACGTACCACATTTAGTACCTCAAGAGTTTCGCACTTCACCCCCAAGAGAATCCCACCAGATCTTCCTCTTGGCGGTAGGTAGTGCCAATCAAAATCAATGCCACCAGTAAGTGAACCGAGGAATTGTGAAGTGAAGTTGTCTCTACTAGTTTCAATAAGTACGATGAAATCTAGTTTATCTTTGATGGTTGTTTCAGCCAGGAACCTTTTCTTAGCCAAGTCTGCTAGACCTCTGCTATTCCAAAAGATCTCTTTCATATTTCATCATGGAATTTTTTCTTGAGTTCCACTCTCGCACTTCTACGAACCGCCGACATTGGATAAATCTTCCTCTTCCAAGAACATTTAGGTTTATCTAATGCCGACACCTCCTCTATACAATTTATAGTCTGTTGTACCCCGCCTGCAATGACGGGGGGTCAACTGGTTGCACAGACTCCGCATCTTCTGCCTCTCCTTTGGCATCGGAAGAAGGCATCGTTCCATCACAAAAGTTCTCTAGCGTAGAGAAACCCAAGTTATTAATATCAGCATCCGACATAGGCTTAACTGCCACTAACGCATGGATCAACTCGGGAGCTCTCTTAGCCTCTAAGTATAAAATATCATTAACTGATTTAGCAATTTCTTTTCCATTAGACCCAAGTGAGACTCCTATGTCATGTGCCTTACTAATGATCTCATGTTTAGAAAAATGCAAAATAGAGCATTGCTTATTAACCGACAAAGTTGTCTAAGTCTCGACGTCCCTTAGCTTGGCGGCCCTCATAGCACGTCCAAGCTGAAAGTCGTCGGCGTCTGGCTGGTCCTGAACCCGGCTGCTGACACGCCTGCCAGACAGCACCGGATCCGGATGTCCACCAAACGCGATCACCTCCTCCGTAGTCCAGACCCGTGGTGACTGCACCGTCTCCATGAGGCCTTCAGGCCTGGCAAGTACAGGTGAAGGGGAGGAGGGGGATCAAGCTAAATGTGTTTTATAATGCTATTATATTGCCACTTTATTTTTATCTATTATGGATCAATTCAATGTCGTGTTCATGTATTTATCTGCGTATCAACAAGCAAAATTTTAGATTGATGCATACCACAAATAGATCATAACATTGATGTACCACAATAGATCCTTTAGATTAATATAAATGAAATCCTACCCACTACCCACATACCCTAATATTGATGTACCTCCCAAAGGTATATAACATACTAACAAAAATTCCCATCGGTAATTCTATTCTTATGTGCGATGCTAATTTGTTGTACATTTTCAGGGAAGTATTATCTTGTGGACTCTGGATATCCAAATCGAACGGGATACCTTGCTCCTTTCAAGGGGAGTACATACCATCTACCGGAATTCCGTCTTCGTCGTGACCGTCCACCTCAAGGGAATTATGAGGTGTTCAACTTTCTACATTCATCCCTTCGAAATGTTGTTGAACGTACTTTTGGGATGCTCAAGCAGAAGTGGCGCATATTGAAAGGAGTCCCAAGTTTCTCACCTCGTACACAGAAGCATATCATCATTGCTTGCATGGCATTGCATAATTTCATTCGTGATAGCAAGTTGCGTGATAAATTTTTTGATAAATGTGATGCCGATGATGAGTATGTACCTCCAGTGCTACGGCGAGAGGTGGCACCAACACAAGCCGATCCGGTTGAAGAGGAGGAGAACGAAGATAGCATGAACAATATTCGTAGTAGGATAGCCGATGCTTGTTTAGCGATGGCAACATAAGTTTAGCTATGTTGACAGAGGTCATCATCATGTGAACCATATGTGTTTTCTATGGTGCATGTGTTTTGTAATAATATTACGGGATCACTATCTATTTTATGCAACATCAAAGTATAGTCGTTTGCGTATATGTTAGCAATGAATGGCCTGAATTGTAATTTTTCTCCTTTGAAAAATGATAGTTTAATTACCTACAAATGTATATATATCACTGCTTTGCAGTCAATCAGCATATAAACAAACTCACTCAGGTGTCAGGGGCATTACAGACAATTCACAGCCACATCTACAATTTCACAGTTGTTTTAACCAAACAGCCTCTAGCTTTTCTATAGCAGCATTTTCACAGCAGCTTTTCCACAGCAGCTTTTTCGGAATATGCAGCTCAAACAAACACAACCTAAGTCACTCCCCACTACGACTAGCCTGATGGATATGAAGCTCCCATAAATTATTGTAACATTAAATAACTACACTCGTGATGAATACATGACATGAGTATGTTTGGCTTAAAAAATAGAGCATGTTCTAATTTGTACTACCACCGCAGATTCCCTGCAATAAAAAAGTACTACCACTGCAGATAACTTTAGTGGCAGAGTGTAAGTACCCCATTTCATACTTTGACATTCATGTACACCATTTTATACCATTTATCATATTTCATATTTTAGCTGCAATTTATGAGGTTTGACATTCTTTTGGACAATTTATCAGATTTGATGACACAAACATCATTTTTTTTTAAACACGATTTACGGAAACGGGCCGCCGTATCGACCCGTTTAACCCATTCGTGGATGAGTCCGTTGCTCGCTCGGCCCATCGCACCGCTCGTCTACACGAGACACTGCCAAGTTTTTACTTAAAAAAAAGAACAGAGACAGAGCCGCGCGGGAGCCAGGGGCTTGGGCTCTGCTCCTTTTCCCCGGTGATCGCCGGCGACTGTCCGCACCGACCTGCACCCGGGCAGCGCGGCGCTGCTCGTGGACTTCTCTTTCCCGTGTACCTCGTGTGGAAGATCGAAGGGACAGAGCAGCCAAGCGGGGCTGGTTCGGAGCTGGATTCGCGCGCTTATCTGAACTCAGCGCCTGCATTCGCGCACCATCCACTCGGCTCCAGCAACTGCTTCCGATCGAGGCGACCCTCTCCAACCAAAATGGAGATAACCTCTGATCTCTGATGCTCCACGGTAGCCACGTTACTCACGACGGCGGCCTGCTCAGCTCAGTTGTCTGCGTCTGCATACGGGGTCGGACGCCCTGCAGGTGTTCGATGAATTGCCTCAGCAGAGAGATTGCGTCGTTGAAGCCGGGTCAAGAATTCAAGCTTCAAGGTATGTTTCATCTCGACCAGACCAGTAATCACTATTAGGATTACTCAATACTGAGTACTTCTGTACCTAGTGACATACTAGTTGGTTTTAGTAGCAACAAACGGTTCAGTTTCTGAATGTTAATGCAGTTGCAATCCATGCACTTCCCACTAAAGTTCCCACTACGCGATAGAAAGTGCACATAGGGTCAGGAACCGCCACCTACCTTGCATATTCATTGGGTTAAGATACAGACACACACACACACTTGCCAAGTAAATCGACAAACAATGTGGGCATGCGCCAGTCGGGATGCAGGTTAATCCGATTACATCATCTAGACTAGGAATCTAAAAACAGGGACATCTAAGCTAAAACGCACTACTGACCACACTGATAATGAATCACACTGGGGGATGTCTTTGGCTGCTCTGGCGCCTGTCGTGGCAACGACGACGGTGACGATCGGAACATATTGACAGCTTCGTGTGGATTGCAAAGTAGCCCAGAACGGCAAGTAGTATGATCATGCCGACATACACAGGCGTCTCCCACCACCTGCTGGAGCCGGCTGCATAGGCCACTAGGAGAGTGACCAAATCCAGTAGGATCGTCCAGTTCAGCACCCTCAGCGACCATTTCTCCCATTCTTCTTCCTTATTGTTTGGCAGCCAGTGCGGTAGCAACATCATGATGACAACAATGGAAGCCACGAAGGAAAAGGAGTTGCTGTAGAAGAAGACGAGGTACTGGGGCCTCCTGTTATCGTGCATCACCGGGTCGCCTGCCTCGTACCCATTGCCACTGCTCTGCCACGCTCCTCCCGGTGGTTCTAGGCCGGCCTGGTAGGCTACACTTGCCACCAAGACGCCTAGCAGCATCAGGTACTTGCGCCTCGCGTGCTTCTTCCTTTCTTCTTCATCCTCCTTCCTTTCTTGTTCTTCTTCCTGCTTCTGTTCATGGGATATGGATGGCGCAACAGCTGCTGAATTGCCATCATTCTGCTGCTCCCTTAGCAAAAATACCAGCAGCAGTCCAACTACAACGAGAAGGACCACACCGACCAACACAAAGATGTAGATGGATGTCTTGAGGTGTTGGGTGCTTCCAGCGGCATAGGCCCCCATCAAACAAAACAAGCCCACCGCCGTACAAACAGATAGTGCATTGCTTCGTATGGCTGGCCTGTACAGATTGGGGTTCACCAGGAGTATGATGAGGGAGATGGACAACATGAAGCTCGCCGAGTTGAAGTAGAAGAAAATCTTGTAGCGGCGTGGGAAGTTGTACAGGAGGACCGGATCGCCAGCGTGGTGCCCAAGCTTGTCATCCTGGAGCAGGAAGCCACCAGGAGGGGTGAGGCCGGCTTGGTAGGTAATGGTCGCAGCCAAGATCGCGAAGAGGAGCAACCGTTTGCGCCTTTTCTCCAGCAACTGATTTGCTTGGTCGTCTTCTTCTTTTTCCTTGTAGTTCAGCGTGAAGAAGATGACATGGATAACCACATAGGCTAGGACGGCGCCTGCCAAAGCCATGTCGTTAATGGAGGTGTTCACGTCCCGGCAGCTCCCGGCGGCATATACGCCAATGAGGCCAAACAGGTCGAGTAGCATGGCTGCCTCCAGCACGTGGTGCTTGACCAGAATCTCCTTCTGGACTAGGACGATGGCCGCCAAGGAGGCCACGAAGGCAACCGAGTTGCAGTAGAAGAAGGCCTTGTATCGCCTAGGATTGGTCGTGAGAAGGATGGGGTCACCGGCCATGTGTCCGCCGGTGTTGTCCTGCCAAAGCCCACCTGGCGGGTCTAACCCCGCTGTGTAGTTGATGGCGGCGGCAAGAGTGGCGAGAAGTAGAACAAGAGAGCGAGCCTTGTCCAGAGCCTCCATTGTACTGTAGAGAAGAAGAAACAGAGTTCAGTTCAGTTTGCAGAGAAAACAGTGTAATTGCAGACAGAATAAACAGACTTCAGTTACGAACTGGGCTTTTTTTTGAGACTTCAGTTGTATTCTTAACCCCACATTGACATTACCTGACATTATCACCAGCCTGCTGAAGTTCCTCAGTTTGGTCAGCTGGACTTCTGACGTAGATAGCGAAAGACAAGGATCTTGACGCTGGAGCGTAGATACCATAGACATAGAGTAGGATGATGTATATCATTGCCAGAACGGCGCCGACTAGGCTGACCATGTAGGCGGTGGTATCGATCTCCCTGCAGCTGCCAGCCACGTATGCGGCGATGAGACCGACCAGGGTGACGACGATGCACCCACAGAGCATGCGAGACCGAGCCGTCTTCTTCTTGCGGAGCTTCTTCCCGTCAATGATGAGCACCATGGTGATGAGCAGGGATGCGACAAACGCTGTGGTGTTGCAGAGCATGAACACCGTCAAGCGCGGGCTGTGCTGGTCCTTGAGAATGGCGTCGCCTGGGTGGTGATTGCCCCCGGTGCTGTCCCAGAAGCCGCCCGGCGTGCTCAGCCCGGCGACGTATGTGATGCTCACCGCGAACATCGCCAGGAGCATCAGGACCTTGCGGAGCCGCTCTTCCGCTTTCAGCTTCTTCACGGCCTTGCGGTCACGGACACAGAGCCGTTCTTCAACCATGGGGTTAGAGCTAAGGATGGGGGCAGGAATTGTGCCAGCGCCGGAGTCGGCATTGGGAGTGGGCATCACTCCACCGGTGCCGGTGTTGCCGTTGGAGACGGGCATCCCGCCGCCGCAGCTGGCAAGGGGGGCGGGAACCATCCCGGTGCTGGAGTCGGGATTGGGAATGGGCGTGACGCCGCTGGAGCCGGAGCCGGCATTGCCGTTGGAGACGGGTTTCCTGTCTTCGGAGCCGGCGACGGGAGCAGGAATCGTGCCGGCACCGGAATCAGAGTTCTTCTCCCAGTAGTCCATCAACTTGAGAACGAGGATGTAGAGGAATACAATGGCCACCAGCACCGCCGAGTAGATGGTTGAAATCTTGTCCCGGCACGTGCCTGCGCCGTAAGCGGCCATGAGGCTGAGGAGGTCTACCACCATGACGCCCCGCAGAGGCACGACGACCCATCGGCTGTCCTTCCCCTTCTTGTCGTGGCGGATGGCGAGGACGAGGATGAGGACGATGACCACGAGCGAAGCGGCGAAGGCGGTGGCGTTGCAGTAGAAGAAGGCGAGGTAGCGGTGGTAGTGGGTGTAGCGGATGATGGGGTCCCCGGCAGGCTGGCCGTCGTGGGCGGCCTGCTAAACGCCTCCCGGCGGGTTGAACCCCGCGGTGTAAGTGATGGTCACCACCATGGCCGCCAGCAGCAGGAGGTACTTCCTCAGGCTGTACTCCCATGGCTGCACCGGCGGCTTTGCCGGCTGGCCGGGCTGGTCCATGGGCACTGCCGGCTGCACCTGCGCGGCAGGGACGCCACACTCCATTCTCTCACTCAACAGCTGCCTGTGGCTCCCTTCGTGTTCTTAATTGTTGTGATGCAGAACGGCGAAGCAACACATGGCTTCGAGGTCTCTTTTTATTTATAGAAAATAAAACGACTTGACTCGGCCCGTCGTCGTTATGAAGGTGCCTAGCCACCGTAGCCTCTGCGCCCTGCGGATGTATTTCGTGTTTTGACCCTTTTCTAAAACCTATTCGAGATCTAACCCTAGTCTGAAAAAATTTCGAAATCTGACCCTTTTGCTACCGCCAGAGTCCATGGCGGTAGGGTCTAACGGCCTACCGCCAGGGACTTTGACGGTAGGAACATCGCTATCTCCAAACGGGCTGGTGGTAGCCTGTACAACCCTATCGCCAAGGTGCTTGGCGGTAGGCACGAGCACGCACTGTGTTCAATACTCCTTCCAGTCCTTTTTTCTTTGCGCATAACTTTTTTCCGTTTTTCCCCCATATGGTCTGCGCATTCCTCTCTTCAGGCGATCTTTACCAAATCTGCCCCTAATAACTCGCTTTGCATGCAGTTAATTCATCTCCCTAATTTACTCGCCTCCCACGCCTGTATTGGTCTACTTCCCTTCCATGCGCAGAGAGAAAATTGTTGCATGCAGAAAAACTAGGAAGGTGTGCGCGCATGCAGGGAGGGACATGAGGAAAGTCAATCAGCTGCATGCACGGTTATAATAACCCAGATTTTAATCCATGCATGTAGCATCTACGCAAGGGTAGTTTTGTCCAGAAAAAAACGAGGGCAGCTATCCTTGGTATGCGTGATTGAAGTTATACGCAGAGAATAGAGGACCGGAGGGAGTACTTAGGAGATTTTGGCGGTAGGGCATGCAACCCTACCGCCAAGGTCCTTGGCGGTAGGCTATTATACCCTACCGCCATGGTCCCTGGCGATAGCAAAAGGGTTAGATCTTAAAAATATTTTAGATTAAGGTCAGATCTTGAATAGGTTTGGAAAAAGGGTCAAAACACGAAATTTTGCCGCGCCCTGCACAGCAATCCTCACATGCGGACGGACGAGTGTCAGGCTCCTCGGAGTAAGGAGAGCAACCAAGTCTTCTCCTGAGTCTTGACAAATAAACTCGGAGTAGTAAGCAGCTCCAGTCTAGTTTTGTAAGAGTATCTACAGTCACGAGTAGCTAAATCCTGCCCTCAAACGACTGCGGACGCGTCTCATAACCGGTCACCTCTTATTTTTTGCCTCTGCATTCGTTTTCCTCATATCCAAACCCTCATATTCATGCAACTCATGCAATGTAAAACATAAACTATGTAGACCACACAATAATAACAAATGGACATAATTCAAACATCAATCACATGGTGGCAGGCATTGGACAACTAGAAGAACGGAGAGGCGGAGAGCAGAGTAAATCACTATTTCCTTGTTGCCCCTTGCAGCCTTGCTATTGCGGCCACAGGTGTGATTGTACCCCTCTGTGTAGGCATCGGCGACCGAAGAGGCGTCGTTGTCAGAGCTGGAGCCATTGCTAAGGTCCGAGTCCTCGTCGGAGGAGATGTTCCGGTCATCCTCTGGACCGTGCGATCCTGCGCTTTGGTCTGCCGGGCCGCCCTTCCGCCATAGCCTTGTGCTCCGATTGCTTTATGGCGAGCCGAAGCACTTTGGCATTTTTGCGGTGGAGCTGTTGCGCGTCCATCTTCGCCTCATGAGGGGGCGTCGGAGGATCTGGTTATATGCACGCCTCATGAATGACACCCTCTACGATTGCACGAGTATATGATGTAATTAGCGTCATATAGGATTTCTCGGTGGTGGGGTGCGGTAACATGCATGCCGGACAGAGGAGGGCTTGCCGATGGGGTCGTAGATGAGGCGTCGCTCGAAGGGGCGGCCGAAGTAGCCGGTGAGAGGGGGCGGTGGAGAGCGCGGTGAGGCACAATCATGGAGGACCGTGGGTGTAGAACTGGAAGGGGCGGGGCGTAGGGGCAATGAGGATGTGGAGAGGTGGGATGCGCGTCCATCGCGTTGCAAGCGGCGGCAGGATCAAGGAGATCGGCAGAAGGCAGGCACTCGAGAGCACGGGCGACGCACACAACTATTGCAACATTAGAACATCTATAGCCGCGACGGCCAAATCCGGTCCCTTAAACGTCCGCGGACGCGTCCGGGCACGTCCGCGGGCACTGATCGGACACGCCTTATATTTATCACTCTGCATCTGTGAATCTCATATCCGGCGCCTTATATCCATACTACACATGCAACATCGATCTTCCCTACGTGATCAAACAAAACGGCTCGATGGGCTCAAGGGGACGCCGTGTGGCACATCAGGTCCCGGCGTCCTACTCTGCGGGTGGCTGCGATGACCGCCGGGTGCACGGGGCTGACGGCTATCCCGCGCGGACATGTAGCAATAATGGAGATCTGGGCCACGATGCTGGGATCTAAGGGTGCGACGGATGTTGGGCGCATGGTGCCAACGGCCGCCGGGCGAGTGTCTGCGGTGGTGGTCTGGCCTGGGTTGGTCGTTGGTGGTGCAACGCCGGGTGAAGACCTTGTTGCCAGTCTTGGGGCTGGGGCTGGCGACGGCGACGCCAGCAGGCGCTGCTTCCTTCTAGAAGGCGTCGCTGAAGTGTTTTTGCTCGCTTCACTATGCAAGGAAGCTCTCGGGAAACCTTGATCCCCTGGGATCGGACGAGGCGACGTGCGTCGTACCTCTTGGGGCATCGTTCCAGGAGCTTCTTGCCAGACAGAGGGATCAGTGATAGATGGGGGGGGCTCATTCGTGTTGCTTCGTCGTGTCGAACTAGCAATGAGGGTTGTCGAGCTTCTGTAGCAACGATGACAGTGGTGAGCATTGTCGGAGGCGTGGCATTAGTCTCGGTAGTCGGCTCTTCTCCGGCGTGCCCGTGAGATTACCTCGGCTAGTTGTTGCTGTGAAGTCGAAATTGTGGTGCGGCCCGCCGGTGGCGTACGATGGCGGGCAACAAGTGGTCCATTCGGTGATCTTCCGTGACTCCAACCTTGTCTAGTTCTTCGTCGGAGTCGGAGTTTGCGTTGTCCTGTTATGGGTGAAGGGTGATCCCCCGTGTAAGTGTAGTGTTGTTTTGCAGCCAATAGGGTTGTCGTTTTTCTCCTTTTTCTTTGATATTTGGATCCTCCCCATATCGCTCTTTCGTTGCTTTTTGCTAAATCTAATTGAAGCCAACAGTTTGCTAGATCTTAAAAAAGAACCTACAGAAATATATTTTTCATACTACTACTCGAATCTTATAATTTTCACCTTCGACTGGGTATTAGCACTGTCTTTTTTTAATGTCCATCGGTCATATTTCAAATATGGACATTTTCTTCATGTATTGCAAAGTCAATGGCTCGTTTGGGCCAAACTATGGAGTTGTGGTAGCCGAAGAGCAACTATGTAGGTAGAGAGAGGGAGGGAGAATGAATGAAATGATAGTTTGCGAGGGAATGACTGTCGAAGTTTA